TCTAGGCCCGAAACTTCAGCCTTTCTGCTCCTGTGATGCTGCTTGGCCTGCTGTGCTCATCCAGCCCTGCACCTTGTTGTCTCGGATTCTCCAGCATCTGCAGTTCCTACTATCTTTGTAGACCTCTATCAGGTCTCCTCTCAGCTGCCGTCTTTCCAGTGAAAACAATCCTAGTCTTTTTAACCTTTCCTCATAGCCAATGCTCTGGAGACCAGGCAACATCCTGGTGAACCTTCTCTGTACTCTCTCCAAAGCTTCCATATCCTTCTGGTAGTGTGGTGACCAGAACTGCACATAATACTCCAAATGCAGCCTAACAAGGGTTTTATATAGCTGCAACATGTTTTGCCAACTCTTGTACTCCACGCCCCAGGCGATGAAGGCAAGCATGCCATATGCCACCTTAATCACCTGGCTACCTGTGTTGCCACTTTCGGGGAACACCCAGATCCGTCTGAATGCTAGTGTTCCTAAGGGTTCTGCCATTTACAATATAATTTGCACCTAAATTTGATCCTCCAAAATGTATCACCTCGCATTTGTCTGGATTAAAGTCTATTCCTGTGCCCAGGTTGCCAATCTATCTAGATCCTATTTATACTTTCAGAATCATTGGCACTATCAGCAACTCCACCAATCTTCATGTCATCAGCAAACTTGCTTATCAGACCACCCACATTTTCCTCCAAATCATTTATATATACTACAAACAACAAAGGACCTAAGACTGACCCCTGTGGAACACCACTAGTTACCGGTCTCCATTCTGAAAAACACCCTTCTACCACTATGCTTTGTCTTCTATGACCAAGCTAGTTTTCTATCCATCTAGCCCGGCCACCCCGAATCCCTTGTGATTTTAGTTTTTGTACTAACCTGCCATGTGGGACTTTATCAAATGCCTTACTAAAGTCCATATAAACTACATCCACAGCCCTTCTCTCATCAATTATCCTCATTACTTCTTCAAAAAATTCAATCAGGTTGGTGAGACATGACCTTCCCCGGACAAAACCTGTTATTAACTAGTTCATTTTTCTCCAAATGCTTCTATATCTTGTCCCTCAGTATCTTCTCCAAGAGCTTCCCACCACAGATGTCAAGCTCCCCGGCCTATAGTTCCCTGGATTATCCCTGCATCCTTTCTTAAACAAGGGAACAACATTCGCTAATTTCCAGTCCTCTGGAACTTCACCTGTGGTCAACGAGGATGTGAAGATATCTGCCAGTGCCCCAGCTATTTCCTCCTTTGCCTTTGAGCAACCTGGAGTAGATCTCATCTAGTCCTGGGGACTTGTCTATCTTAATGCAATTTAGGATTCCCAAAACTTCCTCTTTCAATATGTTGACATTCTCTGGAGCATTCACACACTCATCCCTGACCTCAACATCAGTCATGTCCTTTTCTTTGGTGAAAACCAATACAAAATACTCATTCAGGATCTCCCCCACTTCCTGTGGCTCTACGTATAACTACCCTCCTTCGTCCTTGAGTAGCCCTACTCTTTTTCCCTTGTTACCCTCTTTCTCCTAACATATGCATAAAAAGCCTTGGGATTCTCCTTGACCCTATTTGCTAAAGACATTTCATGGCCTCTTTTTGCCTTCTTAATTGCGCATTTAAGTTCCTTCCTAATTTCTCTGTACTCCTCCAGGGCTTCGTCAGTTTGTAGCTGCCTAGACTTGTCGAATGCTTCCCTTTTTCCTCTGACTAACCTTATAATTTCCCTTATCATCCATGGTTCCTGAATCCTGCCATTCCTATCCTTTAGTTTTGCAGGGACATGCATGTCCTGCATTTTAGTCAATTGGTCTTTAAAAGGATCCCACATGCCAGAGGTAGATTTGCCCTCAAATAACTGCTTCCAAACCACATTCTCCAGTTCCTGTCTAATTTGGGTATAATTGGCACTTGCCCAATTAAGCATCCTCACCCAAGGGCCACTTGTGTCCTTTTCCATGACTACTCGAAATCTTACAGAGTTATGGTTAGTAAGCCCAAAATACTCTCCTACTGAAACATCAATCACCTGTCCTGGCTCATTCCCTAGGACCAAGTCTCATATGACCTCCTGTCTGCTTGGATTGTCAACATACTGCCTCAAAAAGCCCTCCTGGACACTACTAACAAATTGCTCTCCATCCAAACCCCTGGCTCTAAGGGATTTCCAGTCAATAAAAGGAAAGTTGAAGTCACCCACCACAACTACCCTGCTCTTTTCACACTTTTCCAGTATCTAACTACGTATCTACTCCTCTGTCTCCCGTGGGCTGTTGGGAGGTCCATAGAAAACTCCCAACATTGTGATTTCACCCTTCCTATTCCTGAGCTCCACTCATAATGCCTCACTGCAAGATCCATCCAATGTGTCCTCCCTCAACACAGGTGTGATGTGATCCCTAATTACCAGTGCAACTCCCCCTTTTGTTTCCCTTTCTGTCCCTTCTAAAACAGCGATATCTAGGAATGTTAAGCTGCCAGTCATGTCCTTCCTTTAACCATGTCTCTGTAATGGCAATAACATCATAATTCTATGCAGTAATCCATGCTGTTAGTTCATCTGACTTACCTGCTATACTTCTTGCATTGAAGTAAATGCATTCCAGTCCTCCAGTTCCTCTGAGCCCTATGACTTCCCTGTGCCTGCTCTTACTCTGTGCTATGCATACCTCTGTCTACTTTTGTCCCCAGTCCCTGCACTTGCTGGCTAGTTTTCCCACTCCCACCCCCCTGCCACACTAGTTTAAACCCTCCCGAAGAGCTCTAGCAAACCTCCCGCCCAGGATATTGCTGACCCTCCAGTTCACGTGCAACCCGTCCTTCCTGTACAGGTCCCACCTTCTCCAAAAGGCATCTCAATGATCCATATATCTAAAGCCCTCCCTCCTACACCAGCTCTGCAGCACTCTGTCAGTTCCTAGCCTCATTAGCCCATGGCACAGGTATCAATCATGAGGTTACTACCCTAGTAGTCCTGCGTTTTAGCTACCTACCTAACTCCCCGAATTGTCTTCGCAGGACCTCTTCCTTCTTCCTACCTATATCATTTGTGCCAATGTGGACAATGACTTCTGGCTGTTTTCCCTCCCACTTCAGGATGTCCTGTACCCGCTCAGAGACATTAAGGACCCTGCCACCAGGGAGGCAACACACCATCCTGGAGTCTCGGACATGGCCGCAGAAACGCCTATCTGTGCCCCCGACTATCGAGTCACCTACTACTTTCGCTTGCCTAGACTTTGCCACACCCTGCTCTACAGCAGAAACAGTTGTGGTGCCACAGGTCTGGCTACTGCTAGTGCTATCTCCTGAGAGGCTATCCCCCCACAACAGTATCCAAAACAGTATACCTGTTTGAAAGGAGCATAGCCACAGAACTTTTTCAAATAAGAAATAGGAAGAGTGTTAAACCATATGGTTTACTGAGGTTGCTTCAACATTCATTGTGATCATAAGTTGCTGGAAAAACAGTAGGTCTGGCAGAAGAACTGAGGAAGGGTCATCGGACCCGAAACATTAACTTTGATTCTTTCTTCACAGATGCTGCCAGACCTGCTGAGTTTTTCCAGCAACTTCTGTTTTTGTTCCTGATTTACAGCATCTGCAGTTCTTTCAGTTTTCATTGATATTTGATCGCAACTCCACTTTCTTGCCCACTTTTTGGATTCCTTGAATCCCTAAGTTTGTCCACCTCAGCCTTAATTCAATCTTTAGGTTCAATGTTTGATTTGGCCCATTTATGTGCAGAAATATGCACATCATTTCTGGTGTTGAAGTAGCTATTCAAATGGTCTTCAAGGACCTGATATGTGCTTCTCAAGATCAGGCCAATTCATGTTCCTGTTTGCATGATCTTGGGCATCATCTTCAAGGAGATTCCTTGTTATTCCATTCTCTCCCCAGCCATACTGGTCTCCTTCAAGGTGTTTCAAACAAAGATAATTGCCACCAATCAGATGTTGTGGTTCTATTGGCAAAGTTCCCACCATCACCCTATGAAACAAACAACATCTGGCTTTCATACACGCAGTCAAACCCAGAAATCCACAGATTGCTGTCAGTGATTCATTGTTTCTCGTAGAATGTGAAGTCACCACAGTTTTTAGAAATTATGCAGTTGATGAGAATTTCCAGATTTACTCTAACATCTCAATGTCATCTAGCCAAGTAAAAGGTCATTAATGCAAAACAAAAAAAGCAGTGACCCTAATCCCAGTTTCCTGGGGAACACCACTGTATACTTTTCTCTAGTCTGCAAAAAAAATGTTGCTACTGTAGTCATGTGAGATCTACACTCAAGTGAACAGCAACAGGTTTTATTGAATGTAACTACATGCAGAGGCTGGTAAAAGAGGGCATCGTACTTGGAGCCCCATATACTCGGGCTCCCTTTCCATGTGATCTGGGCTGACGATGAAATTGCTGCTTTCACAGAAGGTCTGTAGTTATGGTTGTAAAGAGAATTGCCTTTGTGCTTCTCCATGTGATCTAGCCCCTGGCTGTCTCTGTACAGAACTCTGTACAGCGGACCCACAGCCCTCTGGAGTGGAAAATTCCAATGATTGACAATCTTGTGAGTAAGAAATGTCTCCTCTTAGTCATAAATGTTTGCCTCCTAGTTTTGACTGCCCCTATGTTGTAGATTCCCCATCAGGAAAAGCAGTATTTCAAGATCTAACCTGTTAAGCCTCTTCAGAATCTTCGGAAATAAACTGACAAATGGCTCTTGGACATTGTTGTAATGCAGAAAGATTGTGAATTTTCAACAAACTTTAGCTCATAGCTTGTGGCAAAATGTAAATGTGAACCAGATGTAAAGTTAACTGATTAGGCAAGCCTACTCATCTGTTCATGTGCAACAACCATAAAAGTATTGCTGAGCAATGTATTAAACTTCTTTTCTGCAAAAGTTCAAGCACGGTTATTGAAGGTAATATATTTGAAAATAATAGTATCAATATCACAGGAGATTAACTGCATCACTACTTGGCTTCTCTGTCTGTTTCTCTCTTCCTCCCTTTTTCCCCAATAGAACCTCCAGGGTTGCCCTTGTGCACAACATGTCCCATTCCAAAGGCAGAGGAAACAAAAGACAACCTTCTTACAGCTTAGCCTTCCACATGACTTAAACATCTCTTAACCACAGAATTTTCAGCAGATATAATAGTAATTTGTTAGCATTTAGATCGTGTCCATCTTCATTGTGTTATTTGTCTCCTTCCTACCTCGCCCTTTCTTTCATTGCTATTTCCCGACTCACATTCTCTGCGTCCCAGACTCTAAGGATTATTGTTGTTCTACACATCAGTATATTTTTTATTCATCATTGCCTATCAAGTTAGGTTTTCATGCACTAATTTGTTTGCTGTACTTTTCTTTCCTTCATAGTATCTTGACCATGATGATGCATGTTTAGCTGGAATAGCAAGGATGTCAATACGAATGGGTGATATTCGACGTGGTGTCAACCAGGCAATCAGACACACCAGTAGAGTTCTGAAGAAAGACTGTGGTGTTATTCTAGAGAGTATGAAGGTATAAGATGATCCCTGGATTAATCAATAGATTAGTAGAACTAAAGGGTATAAGAGAAGTCCCAGTAACTGTAAATAGCCGGAATAATGCTAGAACTATCAAGACAAACTGTGGAAATGTAACAATGTTGGAGCCTGTCTTGCTCCTCACAAAGATGAGTGAAGCAGTAATGTTCGCCATTCAGTAAGATCTTGGCTGATCTGATTACTCCAATTCCCGATAATCATTCATCCCCTTGCTTATCAAAGAAATGTCCACCTTTGCATTAAAAATATTCAAAGACTCTGCGCACACCACCTTCTGAAAGTAAAGTTCCAAAGACTTACTACACAATGTAGAAACAATTCTCATCTGTCTTAAATTGGCAACCCTTATTTTGAAACCGTGAATTCGTATTTTGGATTCTGTCATGAGAGGAAACATCCTTTCCACATCCATCCTGTCAAGATCCCTCAGGATCCTGTATGTTCAATCAAGTCTCCCTTTACTTTCTAAACTCCAGTGGATTAAAGTCCGGCTTGTCCTTATGAGGCACTATGCCCATTTCTTGTAGGTAGCCTAGTAAACCTTCTCTGAACTGCTTCCAACACATCCTTCCTTAAATAAGGAGACCAATACTGTCTGCAGTACTCCAGATGTAGTCTCGCCAGTGTCTTGTATAACTGAAGCATAGTCTCCCTGCTTTTATATTTAACTCAACTCACAACAAACAATACCATCCACACAGCTTGCCTAATTACTTAATGGATGCGCACTTTAATCTTTTGTAATCAGTGCATATGACAACCAGAGCTCTGCAATCTAGATAATGTAGTATCTTTATTGTTCCTGCCAAAAAGGATAATTTAAATTTTTCTAGGATTTTCTCCATTTGGAAGGTTGTTGTCCCATCACATAATCTATCAGTATCCCTTTATAGATTCTTGTGCCCTCTTCACAACTTACTTTCCTGCCTATCTTTGTGTCTCAGCAAATTTAATAACCGTACCTTCAGTACTGTCATCCAAGTCATTTATTTAGAAAAAAAAAATTGAGGCCTGAGAAATGAGCCCTGTGACACATCACTCTTTCTTTGTAGCTACACTTTTTTTCCTGTTAGCTAGCCAATCTTCTCGACATGCCAAAATGTTACCATCCAATTGCTTTTATTTTCTGCAATAACCTTTGATGTGGCTGCACCTTATCTAATGCTTTCTGGAAATCTAAGTACAGTACACCCACAGTTCCACGTACCCACAGCACATGTTACTTCCTCAAGAAACTCCACAAAACCATATTGCCTCTGCTTAACTACCTTGAATTTTTCAAAATGCCCTGCTATGACATATTTAATAATACCTTCTAATATTTTCTCTGGTCGATGTTAAACTAACTGGCTGGTGGTTTCCTGTTTTCTGTCTCCCTTTTTGAATAAAGGAAATAAATTTGCTGTTCTACAATCTAACAGAAATTTGCCTGAATCTAGGGAATTTTTGAAAATTAAAACCGATGCATCAATTATCCCACTAACCACTACCTTTTAAACCCTGGGACGTAGACCAACAAAGCTTCAAATTTTGTTCATACTTATCCTTTTTTAAGATTAAAATAATACTATTTGAACCTTCATTTGAATATAAAAGTCAGTCATACTATGATCACTTCTATCTGGGGGCACCTTCACTGAGGTTATTGCAATCTCATTGCACAATACCAGATCTAATATAGCCTGTTGAAAGAAATGATCTCAAACATTCTATTAACTTCTCATCTAGGCTACCTTTACCCATCTAATTTTTTCCAGCCTACATGTAGATTAAAATCTCTCATTACCACCATACTTTTTAAAAAACTATGATTGTTTCTTCCTTTATACTCCATCTTGGTTACTATTAGGAGCCCTGAATATCATTCCCACAAGTGAATTCTTGCCTTTATCATTTCTCATTTCTACTCAAACCACTTCTACATCCTGGTTTCCTGAACTTAGGTCATCCCTCTTTATTGTACTAATATCACACTTAATTATTAGAGCCATTCCTCCACAATTTTTAACTTCCTGTCCTTCCTAAATGCCATGAATCCTTCAATATCCCCAATCTATGTCATTCCTGCAGTCACGTCTTTGTGGCTGCTAAAACGTACTTGTTCATTTTGTAATCATTTCATCTGTTTGATTTTGAATGTTCGTTAGTAGAGTAGGAAAAAGTTAGAAAAATCAAAGAAGCATTTTCTTCTGTTCAAAGTCACATTCAGTCAGTTAAGTTTCAATTAACTTATTTTGGTTAATTTTCAATTTTTTTTTTACCCAGAATCTTAAGGCCAAATCTACAAATGGAGAATATCTGTCGGGCAATAACACTTCCTACCTTCCTAATTTTAGTGTTTTCAGGAAGAGCACACATTTCTTCAGCACTATTATGTGTTTTATCCACAATGCAATTTAGCGTTAATCAAATCAAAATATACACAAGCATGTAATGAAGTCTTGATATATGCAAACCCTAAGTTTATTCCACTAATATACCTACTTTGTTAAATACAGATTTGGTTATTGTCTTCTGGAAATAATATTTTCCTTTAAACAAAATTCCTTTTGAACAGAAAGCTGGTTGTTATTTAATTCCTAATACTTTGCACTGCCAAATGAAATATAACTTGGGGGGTACATTTTAAAAGTAAGCACTCCCAATTCATTGCTACAAGTGGGAGGAATTCTTATCAGGAATTGAGTATTGAGATCAGTGGAATATTTCCGTATATGCAGTCACTTCACATACAATGTACTACAAGTCTCACCCTTGATGTGGTTTCAAAGCATGTTATTATGTCAGGTATTATTTATGTTAGTGGTTGCTGGAATAACACAATTCCCATGTGGATTTTACTCATTAATTAACTCAGAGGCACAAATATTCTGAAGGGACACCAGTCAAAAGGCTTTCCAAGAAGCATGGTGTTCTGTTGAGACTGATCTTTTCAGAGATTTATTGCAGACCTCTCACTTATCACTATGGTTTAGCAAAAAGTTATTGGAGACTTGGATTTATGGAGCGTACCTCCTGTAAGTAGTTTACGCTTGGCTCAGTCCTCTTGACATTAAACTTGTTGCTGTTCTTGTAATTTATCTCACCAGTATGTATTCCCCTTGTAAATTGTTTCAATACAGAACTCCACAAAGGAATTGTAAAGAATAGCATCATTTTTTAAAAATATATTATTTTTGTTTAAGAAACTGCTATTTTTAAGTAATATATAACTGAAACTTCCAGTTCTGCAGGACTATAATTCACCTTTCATGTTACGGAACAAAGTTAAATAGATTCACAATTTATTTTGTAATTCTATCAAGTCTGTGATATATTTCATTTTCTACATTTTGTTAATGTTCACGTCTTACTTACAGCAATTCTCTGAGGCTGCTCAGTTATATGAGAAAGGACAGTATTATGACAAAGCAGCATCTGTTTACATCCGTTGTAAAAATTGGTAAGGAAATATTCGCTGATGTCATCAAAATTCTTTTTAAGAGGAATTAATTATACATTATGAACTGTTTGTAATTTTTTTATCTATAGTGGATGACTCTTGCATCATACAAAGTTTATGATTTATGATAAAACAGCTGCAGATGCTGGAAGTTAGAAATGCAAGCAGAAATTGCTGGAGAAACTCTGTTAACATTTCATCAGTCCAGACTTGAAATGAAAACTCTGCTTTCTTCCCACAGCTACTGCAAGACCTGTTGAGTGCTAAAAATCAGTCAAATATTAGGAATAACATTCAACTCTTTTACAACTGTCATGAGATCTTCCCGTATAACTTGCACACATAGGACGCAACTTTCTATTTTCATAACAGCTTCATTGCTGATGTACCCGCTCTTCTCTTTGTATCTTGATTAATTTCTGGAAAGCATTGTAAGCAATTCAGCTTCCACTGTAACCTGTTTCAGACTGTTTGCCTGCACTTCATTAACTTGTGGTGCTCCAACTGTGTGAGCTAGTTGTCATTTCCTCTTCCCAAACATTCATTCCAATGTCTCTTTTGACTCTGCAACTCTTGGCTGAAACAATAATAGGTGCTACAGTTGTTAACAAGTTTGATGAAGCAAAGAAGGAATAATAGCTAACCATATGAACACTTGGATATCAGGGTTTTTTGAACACTCTATTGGCGATCCTGTTCAAAGACATGAGCTCAAATGATCCAGAAGACCTCCAGACACATGCTTAGAAGCTGATGACTAAAACATGGATCCAGTGTGAGACGTCTAATGATCTCACATGAACTGTGAAAGTTCGTGAAGCATCTTCAAAAGCCTCATCTCATCACTGGCACCACTATCATCAGCCACTGCACAATTCAGCTACCTCTACCACATCACTCAGCTTCCAATAATCTCTGTCAATTAAGGCACAACTTTAACATTCGCACTTAATACTTGCAAACCTGAAACCCACATCTCACAGTTTGCACACGTTAGCAGCTATTCACCCATGATAGGCATGTTGACCATTTTGCACAATGCTAATTAGAACATAGAACATTGAACAGTACAGCACAGTACAGGCCCTTTGGCGCACGATGTTGTGCCGAACTTTTACCCTAAACCTAAGGTCTATCTAACCTCCACCCCTATTTTATACTATCATCCATATGCCTGTCTAATAACCGCTTAAATGCCCCTAATGAGGCCAACTCCACTACCCTCTCTGGCAATGCATTCCGCGTCCCTACCACTCTCTGAGTAAAGAACCTACCTCTGACGTCTCCCCTATTCTACCTCCACTCACTTTAAAACTATACCCCCTCATAATAGCTACCTTCACCCTAGGAAAAAGTCTCTTGCTGTCCACTCTATCTATACCTCTGATCATTTTGTACACCTCTATCAAATCACCTCTCATCCTTTGTCGTTCTAAAGAGAAAAGCCCTAGCTCTCTCAACCTTTCCTCGTAAGACCTTTCCTCCATTCCAGGCAACATCCTGGTAAATCTCCTCTGCACCTTTTCCAACGCTTCCACATCTTTCCTGTAATGAGGCGACCAGAACTGGACACAATACTCCAGACGTGGCTAAACCAGGCTTTTGTATAGCTGGAGCATAACTTCACGGCTCTTGAACTCGATCCCTCTATTAATGAAAGCTAACACACCATACGCCTTCTTAACAACTCTAACCACCTGGGTGGCAGCTTTCAGGGAACTGTGGGCATGAACCCCAAGACCCCTCTGCTCCTGCACACTGCCAAGAATCTTTCCGTTAACCCTGTATTCTGCTTTCAAATTTGTCCTTCCAAAATGAATCACCTCACATTTTTCAGGGTGAAACTCCATCTGCCACTTCTCAGCCCAGCTCTGCACCCTATCAGTGTTCCTTTGTAACCTAGAACAACCCTCTGCACTATCCACAACTTGACCCACCTTCGTATGGTCCGCGAACTTTCTAATCCACCCTTCCACTCCTTCATCCAAATCATTTACAAAAATCACAAATAGAAGAGGACCCAGGACAGATCCTTGTGATACACCACTCGTAACTGAGCACCATGTTGAATATTTTCCATCCACTACCACCCTTTGTCTTCTAAGGGTCAGCCAATTCTGAATCCAATCTGCCACATTTCCCCCATCCCATTCCTCCTTACTTTCTGCATGAGCCTACCATGGGGAACCTTATCAAACGCTTTACTTAAATCCATGTATACCACATCCACTGCTCTACCTTCATCCACGTGTTTGGTCACCTCTTCAAAGAACTCAATAACGTTTGTGAGGCATGATCTACCCCTCACAAATTCACGAATCAAACTGTGCCTATCCAAGTGATCATAAATCCTATCTGTCAGAGCCCTTTCCAATAATTTTCCCGCCACTGACGTAAGACTAACTGGCCTGTAATTTCCGGGGTTATCTCTATTCCCTTTTTTGAACAAGGGAATGACGTTTGCCTCTCTCCAACCTTCCGGCACTATACCCTTGGACAGTGAGGACGAAAAGATCATCGCCAGAGGCCCTGCGAACTCTTCCCTCGCTTCCCACAGAATCCTTGGATAAATCCCATCAGGCCCGGAGGACTTATCTATCTTCAAGTTCCTCAAAATTCCTAGTACATCTTCCTTACTAACATCAACCTCGTCTAGCCTACCAGCCCCTTTCACACTGTCTTCCTCTACAATTAGGTCCCTCTTAGTTGTGAATACCGAAGAAAAGTATTCATTAAGGACCTGTCCTATCTCTTTAGGCTCCGTGCACAAATTCCCTTTACAATCCTTGATGGGCCCTACCCTTTCTCTGGTCATTCTCTTATTCCTCACGTACATGTAAAAAGCCTTGGATATTTCCTTGATCCAATCTGCCAAGGTTTTCTCATGCCCCTTATAGCTCTCCTAAACCCTTTCTTCAGCTCCTTCCTGGCTAACTTGTATCCCTCTAGAGCCTTTTCCGTTCCTTGTTTCCTAAACGTGATATAAGCATCCTTCTTCCTCTTAACCGTTGACACGCTTCACTGGAAGGAGAAACTGGTATACAACTGTAGGCGGCAGAAGTCCTCAAAAGGGGAACAGGTGTGTTTGCATGTTACAGCCCCAATGGAAGAAACAATGTTGGTCATATTGTAAATGGCCAATAACAACTCTGCATCTAATCCTTCTTTTCCCATCACGTTCGTACAATCTCTTCTGACTAAGAAGTAATTGATGGTGTAAAGAGATTTATTTTTTACTTTCTCCTCTCCTCTCCATTCATCACAACCCAACTCCTATTTATTTCTTCCACGTAACAAAGCAGTATACATGCCCAGACTGTGGACAAAAAGCATGATACAGCAAAGATGATGCCACTAAGTAATTCAGTTTCACAGTCACAACTATCACTTGTCTACACTTTGTAATTTGGAGATTAACATAGAACAGGGGTACCTGAAGTGGGAGTTGTGAGCTGAAATTTTGGAGATGTGAGAACGGAGGCAATAAGAACTTCCATGGAGTCCAGGCAAAGTTGCAATAGCCATCCAGCTTTACTCGGTCCTTCCTGAGGGGTTGTGGTTGACAATCTGTAAAATGGTGCAATTATCTTGAACTCCAGCCTGAAAGGACCCAGTTGCATAACTGTTCATCAGCAAGGTCACAGGCACAGTCATGGTCAATCCAGTTGACTCACTGTGCCAGTTTAATATCTTGACATCTCATATTATTCTTTGCTGAGTTCTGGACAGAAGAATTGTCCACTAGAATTCTTAGTTGCACATGGCCACTTACTGAGAGTCTTTCTCTCCCTTGTCCATTCTCTTCAAGCAGCTTTTCTTGTTCTGCATGACTTCTCCCAATTCTCCATCATGCTGTATCCAAGGTGAAGACCAACTGGTGTTTGGGAGCAGCTGTTTGTAACAAAAAGTCCTTCACCACCTTCTACGCAACTCTCTGTGGAATTTTGCTAATAGTCAGCATTTGTTGAATTGTAATAACAGTCAGGAGAAGATAGTATTTATTAACAAGTTTGAGAATAGAATAGAAAGCCAGTACCCATATTTGCTTATGGCACAAAGATAAGTCGCATTGTAACCATGGAATTATATAATTACTCAAAGATTGAGGGAGCTACCAATAGTGAGAAAGATTGCAAGAGGATACAACAGGCTATAAATAGACTGGAGACTTGGGCGGAGAAATGACAGATGGAATTTAATCCTGACAAATGCGAGGTGATGCACTGATCTAATACAGGAGGGAAGTATACAGCAAATGGCAGAACCCTAGAAGCATTAACATATGGTGAGATCTAGGTGTACAGGTCAATAGTTCTCTGAAAGTGGCAACGGAAGTGGATAAGGTGCTCAAGAAAGAGTGTAGCATGCTTGCCTTCATCAATCCGGCATAGAGAATTAAAATTGGCAAGTCATGTTGCAGCAGTATAGAACTTTAGTTCAGCCATATTTGGAATATTGCGTACTGTTCTGATCACCATCCTACCTTAGGATGTGGAGGCTTTGCATAGGGTACAGAAAATATTTACCAGAATGTTGCCTGGTTTAGGGGGCATTAGCTGAGGAGAGATTGGACAATCTTGGTTTGTTTTCACTTGAACATTAGAGGCTGAGGGCTAAGAAGTTTGCAGAACTATGAGAAGCATGGATAGAATGGGTAATTGGAGTCTTTCTCCCAGGGTAGAAATGTCAATTTCTAGGGAACATAGGTTTAAGGTAAAAGGAGGAAAGTTTAAAGGAGAAATGAGAGAAAATGTTCTTACACTGAGTGTGGTAAGTGCCTGGAATGTGCTGCCAGAGGAGGTGGTAGAAGCAGGTACAATAACAGCACTTAAGAGGCACCTTGACAGATATGTGATTAGGCAGAGAATAGAGGGATACAGTCTAGGTAGAGGCTGAAGTTTTTTAGTTTAGAAAGGCATCATGTGTTAGTGCAGACTTGGTGGGCCGAAAAGACTATTTCTGTACTTTACAAAGAGATATTCATAGATTTAAGCGAATGGGCAAAACTGCAGCAAATGGAATTTAAATGCAGGCAAATGAGATCATCCACCTTGGACAAGGGTTTAAAACATGAAAATTGAAAAACATGCAGGTCTAGCAGGATTTGGGCACCTAGGTACGCAGATTATGAAAATGTCTGAACTGGTATGGAAAATAATCAAAAGGGCTAATGGAATTCTGGCTTCTTTATCAATGGGGATGGAATACATGCATTAACAATACTTGGAGTACTGTGAGCAGTTCTGGGCACCTCACCTTAGGTAGGATATATTCAGCTTAGAGAAGAGCAATATCGATTTACTAAAATGATACCAAACTGAATGGGTTAAGTTATGAGCAGAGATTAAACACAATGGGATTGGATTCCCTGGAACTTGGATGTGATCAAAATTTTCATGATACTCTCCTGACAATTTTTCATGGGCAAAGATGATGGGGAGGGTGTATGTATTGGTTGCAAGCCCACTGCTAGCTATTCAGGCCTATCCGTGACTGGCAAATTCTTGCACAGAAGGTTCAGTGAGGATATAGTCATTGCTGGGGACATTTAGATGTTTCATTCTTTATTAGGCTGGCTGTTCGCTCAGTCTCAAAGGTACAGCGCTCAAAGCAGTAGCACTGCTGATGTAACATCTGCAGACATGGTGATCTATGGCATGTGTTTCCCACTGGTGATGATCAATGTGTCACAGAAAGGGTTATCTTGAAGGAGTTTTGCGGTGCCCCTCTGTTCCATTTACCAGCGGGCATCTCTCCATGGCAGATAACAGTTATCCTTCCTGGCAAAATGACCTCAAAGCAACTGGCTTTGCAAGACATTGGCAGTTTCCAGGACTTCACTGTTTGTGGTGTGGGCCTGCCACTGGATCTTGAGGATGCTGCAAAGCTGTGCTATAAAAAGTGGTCATGTCAGTGGAATATGACCCATGACTTGGTGCCATAAGAATGGTGGTGAGGACTACAGATTGTACACTTTTGAGTTTATTCTGTGCTCTACATTTCTGGTTACTCTACACTTGTATACAGAGTTGATCACTGTTTGCTTTTGAAAGCCTGTGATCAACTTGACTGTGGTGATATTAAGCAGTATGACGCTCCCCATCTATTAAATTGGTTGACAGCTTTCAGTTCTGTTCCCTTGATGCCAACGCTTGGTGGTCTATATTTCTCTTAAGGTGTATGTGGGGTTCAAAAAGAGGAACAGAAATGTAGAGAGAAACAACTGGTTGGGAGAGTCTAGGATTTGGGGACAGGATATAAAAATTAGAGCCAGAGCTTTCAGGAGTGAAATTAGGAAATATTTCTACAAGTATACAATATTAAAAGTTCAGAATTCTACCGTAAATGATGAATGATACAAAACCAAATGTCAATTTAAAACCAGATTGATATAAGAATATGGGGCAAGGGCAAGAATGTAGAATTAAGTAACAGATCAGCCATGATCTTATTCAATAAGAGTATAGGAAAGGTGGTGCAGGTTAGAGAGGCTAAATGGCCTAATTCTGTTTCTATGTTCCCCAAATTTTATAAAAATTACACAATTTATTTGTTGGAGTAACGAGACTAACAGCAGCCATAACTTTTCACATTGTGACAATTGGGACATTTTTCCTTTCCCTCTTGGTATCTTACAACAGCTAATTACAAAAGAAATGCTTCAATGGTGCCTTTGAAAACATAATGGTCCAGATATTCTGATTGCCACTGGAACAGATTAGACTGCTGATGAGCTTTAAAATTACCCACTTACCTGTTGATGATTTTTCTTACCAATATTTAGTCTGGACTGTCCTGAATGCATCTTTTGGATAAAACCAGGGAGAAATCCACTCAGTGCAGGAGTAGCATTGCAGGTCAAGGCATGTCCCTTCATCATAACATTTGTTGCTGTATTTTAGGAGGTAAATGTCCTAAGGACTGTATGACAGCAATCAAGGAAAGGTGAGGTATGTAAGATAAGTAACGGGATAGGATGACAGGTGGCTAGTTTGAATTCGGTGGATGAAGGAGTAGGATGCCAATAAGAAGGTGAGTGCTTAGAGTAGGTTGGGGTTTGGGATCAGATTGGGCCAGGCTCAATGTGAAGAGATGTCGGCTCCAGCAGGGTACAACGAGTGGGAGCATGTCAGGTCCACGAGGTTTGGGCTGGGCTTGAGTAGGGTGTTAGCTTAACTAAGGTAAGGTTGGGCCAAACTGTGGAGTGGGTGAGTGTCTGGTCCAGTGGGAAGTGTCAAGAGACAGGAGAGGTATAGTTAAGTCAATGGTGAGTTAGCAGTCAGTTTACTTGGTTTCTGTGCATTATTTAATGGCTGTGCTTGATGCCACCATAGTGCCCTTACACCCCATGCATTCACCATTTCTGTAAAGTCACTGCTAGCGATACGGCAGGACTTGAGTCATAGCTTCATACTTAAAGTTTATTTCATGTAGCAGCAAGGTGCCCTGAAATAAGTTACAAAACCGTCGATCTAGAGGAGCACTTGGAAAGAGTCCTTGGTGTCTCAGCGGTCGATCTTCAAGCCTGGCTTACCACTTCCTTCAGGAAGTGGTACAGTGAGAAGAGTCAGCCAGTGAGACAGTTGGGGCGTGATAATCAGGCCAGTGACAAGGAGGCAAATAATGGGCTCCTACTCTAGTTGTGGATCTGGTTCAGTATGGGTGCGCAGTGAATATGCTAATAGCATTGAAGTTCTGTCCATGTGCATTTGGGGGAAATATACTTGTTTAATTTGTAAATAATTCTAACATAGTTTTAGGCAATATACATTGGCCCAGAATATTTTCTAATACCTGAAAGTCATAGGAGATTCTTGTAAGCATCACACGTAATGATGAATGTAAACATGGACATTCTAGCTCATACAATAAATTGTAAACCCACATGTTTCAACTTATTGGAGACTCAGTTTGTTTGTGGAAACCCACTTTGAGCTACAAAGACTAAAGCGTTGTCAGAGGCCTCAATGTTTAACAGTCTGGCTTGTGAAATTCTAAACAGTTTACAAGGTCATTTTTAGAATATTCTTTGATTAGAACACAAAAACACACTGTCAGGTTAGTATATCAAATGCAGATTTTTTAAAATGGAGTGTTTTCATGTTGTGTTGCACAACTATCTATTATTTCCTAGTTTCTGATTTTTTTTATTATTTCCTAGGTTTCTGATCACAAACATGACTGCCAGTTACAGCCTTTTAGAGATTTCTCTTTTTTTTGTAACCCAGGGCAAAAGTTGGAGAGCTTCTCCCTCATGTAACATCTCCCAAGATACATCTACAGTATGCAAAGGCAAAAGAAGCTGATGGCAGGTATAGTCTTGTACAACTGGAATATAATTACTGTAGGTAACAAGAATGTACTGACAAGCTTTGCCAAGGTAATGTGCAAGTCAAGAACCAGTACTCCCAATGTCATTTTGAATATTAAAGATTTGTCAGAGTTGGCATGATTCTCCAATTTACCTGTTTCTTTAGACCCAGGTTAACAGACAGGATGGATCAAGTTTCTGTACTTAACAAGCATTACTATTTTATAGAGTCATAGAGTCATACAGCACAGAAACAGACCCTTTGGTCCAACGTTTCCATGCTGACCAAGTTTCCCAAACTAAACTAGTCCCACTTGCCTGTCTTTGGCCCATATCCCTCTAAACATTTCCTATTCATGTACCTGTCCACATGTCTTTTAAATGTTGTAGCTGTACTTGTATCTACCACTTTCTCATCCACTCTTGTGAAAAAGTTGCCCCTCAGGACCAAATAAAATCTTTCCCCTCTCACTGTAAAAAATATGCCCTGTGGTTTTGAACTCCCCTAACCCAGGGAAAAGACCTTTGCTATTCATCTTATTTAATCCCCTCATGATTTTATAAACCTCTATAAGGTCACCCCTCAGCCTCCAACATCTCAGTGAAATATGTCCCAGTTTATCCAGCCTGTCCTTTATGACTCAAACATTCCAGTCCTGGCAACATCCTGGTAAATCTTTTCTGTACCCTATCCAATTTAATAATATTCTTCCTATAGCAGGGTGACCAGAAGTGCACACAGTAGTCCAAAAGCGGCCTCACAATGTCCTGTGCAACTGCAATATGACGTCCCAACTCCTTTACTTCATGTTCTGAGCAATGAAAACCAATGTGCTAAACACCTTCTTAACCACCCTGTCTACTTGTGAGACAATTTGCAAAGAACTATGTACCTGAGCTTCTAGGGGTTTCTGTTCAACACTACCCGGGTCCCCATCATTGACTATTTCAGTCCTGCCCTTGTTCACCTTATCAAAATGCAACACTTCGCATTTATCCACATTAAACTCCATCTGTCACTCGTCAGCCCATTGGCCCAATTCATCAAGATCCCCTTTATAATCTTACATAACCTTCTTCCCTGTCCACCATACCACCAGTTTTGTTCCAATTTTGTTATTTACTACAGAGAAATAGACTCTAGCTACAGGTAAACACATGAATTGTCAACATATAACACTACTAGTTAAAACTCTAACTGCCTTATAAAACTACACCTACACATATATACAGACAGACACAGACTAAAAAAAGCTTTGATGTTATGAGCAGAGGAAAAAACTGGGAATCCAGTTCAATGCCCCTGTCCTCAGAGTTTGCTGAGATAATTCTTTTTCTTGCCAGAAGTTGCAGTTCCTCAATCTCTCCCCTCCAAGTACTTTTGACTTTCTTGTAAGAGGCAACAGAGGCACAGACTGGTTCATAAATTATAAAGTCTCTAACTAATTGGTTAGTAGCATCAGCTTACAGCAATCAGTGAGGGAAAACTGGCTTTCTTCAGGATTCAGGAATTTCTTTTACTGCAGAGAGAGTGTGATACACCCACAATATCTGTTCACACTGACAAACTATTTAGCTACACAAGAACTAATTACGTAGCTATTGTCAGGCAGATGACTTTTGTCATCGGCAACTGGTCACAGCTCCACAAACCATTAAGCTACTTGTTGCTGGCCAGTTTGTGTACACCCACTGGTGCCAATCTATTTGCAGCTAACTTCCCCCTAACTAGTTGAACCATAGGAACAGGAATAGGCCATTAAGCGATCATAGCTGATTGAACATGGCTTTAACCTACCTTACCTCCATAACCCTATATGCTACTGGAATCTGAAATCTAGCAATCTCTACCTCAAACATACTTAAAGATTGAGCTTCAATAGCCTTCTGTAGTAGAGAATTTGAAGGGTTAACAACAACCTTCTGAGTAAAATCTTTTCATCTCATCTCGGACTGAAGTAGCATCCCTTTATTTTTCAGTTGTGTCCCTGGTTCTAGACTCCCCAACAATCGAAACATCTTACCTTCATCTAGTTTCAGAGATAGCAGGAACTGCAGATGCTGGAGAATCTGAGATAACAAGGTGTAGAGCTGGATGAACACAGCAGGCCAAGCAGCATCAGAGG